TACTCCCACCGCCGCTCCATGAGCCGTAGAAGCACCTAAAATATTGTCTCTGCTGGCAGTAGCTGTGGTTTGTTTGAGGCACCATTTCCCGGAAACCGCATTGCCAGATATTTCTTAGTTTAATAGTTTGATCATGTTTATCACAACTCCAGCAGCTTCCTGTGCAGTGAAAGGTGTGATAAGTAGTTACTGGTTTAAAAGATACACCCTCCCCTTGCTTGGTGCCAATTGGCTGGGAAAGATGAAGCGTTTAGGATATGAATTACTTATTCATAGCGCTCTCTTGCCATATTAAGTGCATTGAACCTAAATGCCTGTTACTAAGAAAATTAATGTGAAGTCCACTATGACTTCCAATGGTTATCAAAATGATCCAGGACGAGATGGAGCGTCACCACGCTCCATTAGGAAGACTGGTGTGCGCTACATTTAATGTATTTCCCAGGAATGCGTTAACCTCTGCTTGGTTTGGATTTATTCCAGACAAACATTTGCTGATTTAAAAGGAGAATTTGTGTTCGTATTTTAGCTCTTCTGAAAGGGTCTGATGCATCCATCTATACATGGCCGTAGTGAGACCAGGGGCTGCAAGTTTGTGCTGTAAAGCTGCTTTCAGGTTGTCCCCTCCCCAGCCGTGGTGGTACCGGTGTCTCTACGAGCACTGGGGTTTGAATCCAGCTGCCGGCCCTCCCTCGCTGAGCTGCCGGCGATTGCCGTGGCCCTGGGCGGTTTCAGCAGGCGTTGGTGTGGTCCCTGCTCCATGGGAGGGGACGGCAACACCGGCCCCAGGCGACGGCTATGGGGTACCCGGCAGGGTGGGCTCCATGGTGGTGTAGCAGAGGTTGCATCTCTGGGGTGGGGATGCTGTTAAGGAGAAGGATGTTAAATAAACACATAACACGGAGCTGAAGTCTTTTAATCAGAATAAGAAACAGCCTTGTGGGGACTAGGAGACTTCCAGGTCCAGGCTGGGAATGCGAGAGGAGCTCCTCCCTGGAGAAGGGCAGAAGGGGTAGGTGGCCATATGTGATGGGAAGCGGAGGATTTCCCAGACGTTCGAGGCACTCGGTGCCTTTGCTCATACATGAGTGGGGACAGCTCCTTCAGGCAGTCATTGCATGCATTTTGTGGGGAAATTCCTTTATTTTCCCTATTCTCCTGTTTAGCTGTGCGATGTCAGGAGCTGACTATGTGACTTTGCTGAACGTGGTGGCCTCAACACCTCTCCCTCGTTGGAGAAGCCAGCAACAAGGTAAAGCATTCATGGTCACGTTGGAGGGGGGAAGCCCAGTGTTCAGGCTGCGTTTTTCCAGGCTCATCCCCTTGAGCACGGCAGGGGCTCTACAGCTCGGCCGTGCACGTGGTGGCTGCTATAAACCGTTTTAACTAAACCTGTATCCAGTGGGACTGGTCCAGCAGCAGAGGCCTGCCGCTGAGGTTTTTTTTCTGGATTTTCCATAGGGCTGGTGTCCCTCTGTCTGGGAGAGCGGCTGCGGGAGGGCCAGGCCAGGGTGCAGCCCCCACTGCCGAACCGGGGCAGCTGGGTAAGGGGGCTTCCCCCAGTTCTGCCCTGTCCCCGAGCCCCCTCACCTCCCCCATCCCACAGGGCCGCCTCTGGTTTGAACAGTCAAAAATGCCTGGCGGTAGGAAATCCTCAGTCTCTTCCTCAGATAAGATCATTTGGATTCAGCCCAGATTCATGCGAGATCTGTGTCGGGAGGAGACAACCGCA